AAGGCAATTCTTTGGCCTGTGATGGCAAGAACTCTCCACGCCGGCCCATAACAATAAGAAGAAACACTTCATGTTAGATCCCTTCAAGAGAGCCACCTAAAGGGATGAAGGAGATCTCAGCAGCAAGAACCCAGAGTCCAAAGCAAAGATGCCTATAAAGTTACCAAATGGGCCTAAGTAATTCTGTTTTGTATCTGGAATCCATTTTGTGTAGGCTCTCATGTAGCCTTGCTTATCTTTTTCAGACTAGACTTAGCTTGTAACTTTTCTGTTCTAGTTTGAGAAACCACAATACCCAGAGACTTGTCTCCAGGCCAAACCACACCCTGGTCAAAGTGCTGGTCTACTTAAGATACCTTTCCCAACATCTGTCAAAAGGATCAATGACCATCCATTTCACTCCCTACAAAAGTCCTTAAAATTCACATCACTTATTTCACACGACAGGTTCTAAGGGTGGCTGGATTTGCAAATAGTTCTTTGCTCAATTAGACTTTGTTTAATTTTGTACAGTTTTTCTGTACTAGGGTTGAACTCAGGACCTATACCTTGAGCCACTCCACCAGGCCTTTTTTTGTGAAGGGTTTTTTGAGATAGGGTCTCTCAAACTTTTTCCTTGGGTTGACTTCAAACCATAATCCTCCTGATCTCTGACTCTTGAGTAGCTAGGATTACAGGAGTGGGCCACCAGCATGCAGCCAGTTTTTCTTTGGACCGCAAAGGTTGAGATATTTGTATAATACCTTGGTTGGAGCTGATACTCTAATGGGCTTTAATCCCAGCTACTTGGGAAGCAGAGATAGGGAAGATCACAGTCCAAGGCCAGCCTGGCAAAAAACCAAGACCCTATCTGAAAAATAACTAAATCAAAAAAGGACTGGGGACATGGCTCAAGTGGCAGAGTGCCTGCCTAGCAATCCAGAGGCTCTGAGTTCAAACCGAGTAATGCCAAAAACAAAACAAAACCTTCCAAAAATCACCAACAACAAAAAAGTGGGTTGAAAACCCATGGGACTTTCTAACTTTCCACACAAGAACAAGGAAAGTTGACCATGGGTCAATGAGAGAGGAAAAATAAACATTTGTTTTGATCACAGCTCTGAAGGGACACAATTACAGCATTTACAAAACAGATCTGGAGTTCCTGCTCAACTCAGCAGATCTTTAGGTTTTGATACCTATGTGATACTTCTTGTTTCTTTCCCTCTAAGAATGTGGTTATGTGCCTCAAAGTTTGTTGCCTGTAAGGTTTCCAAGTGAAAGTTCACACTTGTCATCATTCTGAAGGATTATGTTGAATTTCAAAGCTCCTGAGCAATGGAAGGAAGACCAAGTCTGCAATTGTGTAACATGCTTTACAGTGTTTTAGGCCCACTGGCAGTTGGTTCTTTGAGATGAAAATAATATATTAGTAGGAGCTAAGTGAAAGAGAATAAACTGGTCTCCAGGTGGCCAGATAGAATATAAAGTCAACAGAAAGAATACTTCCTGTGGTCTATTAATAATTCAGAAGCCTTCTGTCCTCAATGTTTCTCTACTCTGCAAGTCCTTCCCTTCTTTTCTTCATACTTTTTCTCACTTTCTTTTACCGAATAGCCCTGGCTGACAGGCTGCACTTAGGTAATCATTGCAAAATACAATTAATGACTTTGTTTACAAGATTCTTGCTAGTATTTTATTTTTACCCTTTATAGTGTTTGGCCTTTAAAATCAACTGAATATGGAGGTATGGTTTTTTTGGCTGCCTTTCTCTTTGGCATATGGTATTTATGCCTTTAAAACTTTTTTGTTGTTGTTTCAGGGCATTTCATTGATGAGATTTCTCAAAACGCCCCTACAAATCAGCCACTAAGAGATTGCATGAATACAAACTGTTATTAGGAAAATGATCATGATGAGAAAACAATAACGAAGAACAGCTTTAGGAAACAGCCAGGCCATTAGTTCTTTTTCAGAAGGGTTTATAGTCTCGCCTCCAGGAATAATTTATCAAAGTTTGTTGCTCTGAATGAAATTAGATTTTCCTTTTTGCTTCAGATATAGGCCATCCCTGGAAAAACAGAGCTCAGAAACATTTGGTAAAACAATTATTTTTACTCACAGAAGATGAGTTTGCCAAGTTATTTCTAGTGATGGGATGAGAACCAGGACTCAAATATGCATCTGACTACAAAGAGAGAGTTCACCTCTCCCTCCCCATTCATGGGCAACTCCAGAGTTTACACAAAATATTAAATATTTTCAATGTGATATTTTTTGGTTAAATTATAGTCATATTCTTATTCCTCTCTCAAGCACAAGTATTAATCAGATTTTAGAACATATGCTGAAATGAAAAATCATGCATGCAGGAATTTTCTGGCTCATGTTTTCACTATTTCCTTTTTGTCTATCTCTTTTCATTTGCATTATCTAGTGTCGCTAAAACATAAATCTACTTATTCTGAAGAGATGTGTAGCTCTTTTGTGTAAGTTGCAACAGGGTATCCATCTAGTTCAGGTCACTATAGAATCAAGATGGTGGCTGTTAGGGTGAACATAGGGCAGCCATGTTAGGACCAGAATCCCAGCCCCTCACAGGTGCTTTCTGGAAATGCTATACCCAGCCCTAAAGAATAACAAACATCCACCTTTAGCCATTTACTAGAAACTCCCCACCCGGCCTCAGAAGAATGGCAAAACCCTGGGCTGTAGCTCTCTTGCTGGATACCCACAGGTTCCCTCTGAAAAAAGCCTGTGCTGATGTCAAGCCATCTCCTCGCCTATCTCTGTGCCTCCTTCAGTCAACCAACTCTGTCTCCTGCCTATCCTTCTGTGTCTTTTTTTTAGTCTAACAGTGGCCCCTGTTGTCCCAGCTACTCATGAGGCTGTGACAGGAAAATTGCTTGAGCCCGAGAATTCAGGGCCAGCCCGTGCAACATAGCAAGACCCCCATCTCAAAAATGAAAAAAACAATGGTAGCCTGGAGGTAAGTGTGTGTGAGGCTCTGCAACAGCCAGCTTGGAGTGTGCTTGGGCTGGGCTGCTGCTAAGGCTACAGGCACAGCTGCTATGCCAGTAGGTGAAGATTGTGAAGGTGAGGGCCTCCAGCCCATACCTGTCTTCCAGGCTATCTTTTCAAATGATCTCTCCTCAAATTCACTGTGACTAAGTCCGACCTCCTTTAAACTGACTCCTTTCACAATTTCTACGTTTTTTAGAGGCAACACTATGAGTGCAGAGTTGAAATGAGGCGTGAGTGGGTTTAAATCCAACTTCTGCACTTACTGGACTGGGGAAGTGTCTCAAAGCTGTAAAGCACTTGTCTAGCGAGTGTGAGGCCCTTAGTTCAATCACCAGTACCATAAAAAAATAATAAAAAAAAATAAAGACACAAAACAAGCTAAAAATTTGGATCAGGAATGTGACTCAAGTGGTAGAGTGGTAGAGCACTTGTGCAGCAAGCATGAGGCCCTGAGTTCAGTCCCCAGTACTGCCAAAAAAGGAGTACACTTACTGTTTATTCTTGTGATTTATTCGACCTGGAGCTCAGTTTCCTCCCAGGTAAAATGTCCATAAACATTTCTAGAGTGTGCAGGGTGTGGTAGCATGCTCCTGTATTCCTAACTACTCAAGAGGCTGAGACAGCAGAAATGCTTGAGCCCAGGAGTTTGGGGCCAGCCTGGGAATGCAGTGAGACCCCCATCTAAAAAAGAAAAACAGTACTCCTAGAGTATAGGGTGATAGACATTTAAAAAGATAACATTGCTAAGTGCATAGCACAGTGCTTGGGACAAGCACAGGTACTACATAACAAGCTTCCTCCCTCTGTACTCACTGTTAAGATACGGCACCTCAGTATCCAAGATGGACATGATGTTATCAGTTTTCATCCTTCAGTCTGTCCCTTTCTCTTCATTAGAACCAATCGTCAAGTTGTGGAACATTAAAACTAGCAAAGACCTTAAAATCATGCTCATCTGATTTATTAATAAAACATAGAGTCATAAATCACCAATCATTCTAGCAATTTTGATTCCCATGACAATTCAATAACAACCACTGTTTCATGATGGAATTTATTGCTTGATACTCAACAATCATACTGAACACAAAAAAAAAAAAACCAACCAATTGTTCTGTGATCATGAACAAACATAGTTTCAGGCTCAAAGTTAAGCCCTATTTTTGAATTATTGTTCTTTTTATGACTCAAAGGATTTTTGGGTAGAATTTTTCCCTGCCTCTGGTATGTTCCTTTGCCATATATCCCATCTCTTGCTGCATTCACTAACACAAGGGAAGGGATTTGTCTCAGAGGTAATTAGGAAATGATCATAAAAGCAAAAAAAAAAAAAAAAAAGGATGCTTTTTAAAATTCAAAATTCAAAAATTAGTAGTTAATATTTACAACATTGCATGTACCCTGGAACTACTTACTCCATTATATATGCTGTCTATGTATTGTATATGCTCTAGCATGAGTCCATTTGTTTATGCTAGAATATTCTAAGGTAATCACTCAATTGAGTGAAATAAGAGTTAAATAGGCTTATGTATGTGTTCTTTATAACCACTATTCTTGTCTTCATATTCTACGCTGAATAACCAAGCAGTCCTGATCGTCTACTTAACACGCTTACCCTCTCCTCCTTTCCACTATGTTTTATGTACAAGAGTAAACTACCTATAGTTAATAGATGTTTGAATATGAAGAGAAGAATGCAAATTGTGTAACATGTTAGAGTACACATCTTTAAAAAGATTCCATAGATACTGAGTATCTTATCATCCAGTGTTCTCCCAGGAATAAAACTAGAGGCAGAAAAGAAAAAAATATATCCAGAAAAGTCTATTAAGATGAAATCCACTTGTTTGTCAGAGCAACTTGGAAAGTTTCCCAAAGAGTTGGCCTTCAAACGTTAGCATTCCGCTCCCCAGCACAGTATACTGACTCTATTTGATGAGAGGCAAACGAGAAAGGGAAATGGCCCAGCACAGTGTGGGATTCTAGACAGTTACCTCTGACAGGCGAAGCCTTGCTGCTCACAGAGGACGATGGCTACAAGGACTCCAAGACTATAAAGCTTCATCCTGACAGCAATTTGCTGCCCAACAAAATTCTCTGAACTGAAAGTCGCAGATAGATGATTGCGTAAGAGTCTTCTTGACACACTGGTTAAAATGTAATGGCGTGTTCCCTCTTGTTCCTGTGGCTGAATCAACTCAGTTTCCATTTCCACTCTCCAAAAGAAAAATAAACATGTTTTAGTTAGCTCATTTGATAACTGAACCCTCAAAAAGAAAGCATGATGAGAGCTGTTCTTGGTTTAGCTAATTAGAGAATATTTACTTCTTCAGGGAAGAGAAGGACTAGAAAGACAGGGTAGTAATGTAACAGAATCTGGTCTGCTTCATTGGAGAACTATGGTCATGGAATATTGACTGATGATTCATAGCCCATGTTGAGGGAGGTCTCCCGTGATTACCAAAAACATCTTTCCTTGCCTGTCTTTTTCAACATTTTTGACTTAGATGAAAGGGAGTTCCTCAAATTAGTGATAGTAGAAGGCTAAGATAAATAATAAATAAATAAGTGATAGTACAAGGCAGAGTTTATACGAAGGATTATAGAATCTCCATTCAAAAATATCTTTCCTTGACTGTATGGAATTATGTCTATGGGCCCACCCATAGACATAGAAAGAAATACTAGCCGGGTGCCAGTGGCTAATCCTGTAATCCTAGCTATTCAGGAGTCAAAGATCAGGAGGATCGTGGTTTGAAGCCACCCCAGGCAAATAGTTCGTGAGACCCTATCTTGAAAAACTCTTCACAAAAATAGGGCTGGTGGAGTGGCTCAAGGTGAAGGCCCTGAGTTCAAGCCCCAGTACTGCAAAAAAAAAAAAAAAAAGAAAAAGAAAAACGGGTGAAAAGCCATAAGGCAAGGAATTCATAGAACTAATGGAGTGACAGAAGCGGTCACAGAGGTATTAAAACCGGGGTGAGAAGATTAGAGAGACACTGACAGTTTATTGCCTGTCTTGTGGTTGTGCCAGATCTCTCTTGGTTTTGTCTGTCTCTTGTGGTTGGCTGCTTATGGGCCTTACCTTATCTCCTCACCTAAGACCATTTCATGACTGCATAAATCTTTTACAAGTGGCTCTTCCTTATGTTTGCCAATTTTGTTTTTATATCAGTGCTTGAAAGTACCATTTAAAATTGTTCACTTTTTTATGAATAACATTCCTTCAGCTCTTTTGATAAGAATCCATGGAACACTTATTTTAAAGTCTATGCTACATTGCTTTATAAGGTTAATTGTGCCTGAGGTGAGCTCATGTTCTGAGTGCTGATTTTGTCAGCTGTCTTGCTTAACATTTTTTGTCTTCTGTGATTTGGAACCCTGGTTTGCAGGTTGAGTAAGACATCATCTTTCGGGTAAGAAGTTTCCATTTCTGTTTCTCTCCCTCTGTATTCATGGGATACACATATATCCCTGTCTTATACTGGTTTTTGAGGATTCCTATGTCATGATAATACTGTGACTTTCAAAGATCCAGTCACCAATCAGAGATGACTTGACTTAGTTACTGGCTTCATTTCTCCTGGTTGAGTTACTCCTCCATCTCCTACTTATAAACCTGTCCTTGGAGGCAGTGAGCAGCACCTTTTTTCTTTTTATTGATGCACAGATCTTCAGTGTACAGTTAGACTGCTTTTGAAAAATTGTGCACTTGAGTAACCCACACCCCATCAAGGTGTAGAAAATTTCCATCACCCCAGAAAGTATCCTTATATCCTCCCAGGCGCTTGAAATTTAATCATCACAGATTAATTTTCTTGTTCTATACCTTCATAGGATATAGATGTCCTCTTTTTTGTTGGTCTTCCTTTGTTAGTTTTGGTTTAATGATTCTTTTATACCATTGACAGTAACTAATTCCTTTTTATGTCTGAGCAGCAATCAATTTTATGAATGTAACATATTTGTTTATTCATTTTTCTATTAACGGACATCCAGAGTGTTTTCAGTTTGCAGCTATTATGCTTTTTTGTGGATAAATATTTCCATTTCTCTTAAATATCTTGGAATGAAATTGCTAGGGAACAAGGATACTTAGATTTATAAGCAAGTGTAACTTTTTCCAAGGTGGTTGTCCCATTTTATAATTCCACAAAAAGTATATTAGAGTCCTAGTGGGTCCACATCCTTGTCATTATTTGATGCAGTTGGTCTTTTTCATTTTATGTGAGTATGTGGGAATCTCTAAGTTTGGTTTTAATGTACATTTCCATGATGACTAATGATGTTAGAAACATTTCTGTACTTGGTGGTGTATGCATATATACATATATGTATATAAGTTGACTCTGTATACACACACACAGAGAGAGAGAGAGAGAGAGAGAGAGAGAGAAAGTGCTTGTTCAATTTATGTGTCTGAGTTTTAATCGGATGCTTTGTCTCATTACTGATTCATAGGAGTTATTATACAATACATTCTTGACTTCAGTCCTTTGTCTGATATATATATTGTGTATATGTATTTGAGAAGTGCCTGTAGAAGTCTTTTGACCATTTTTGAAAATTTTGGTTGTCTTTTTTATTACTCGTTTGTGGGAACAACTTCTTTGTCTTGCTCAATTTTTAGGATTTTTTTTGAAGAGCAGAAGTTTTTAAGCTTGTTGAATGAAATTATTGATTTTTATTTAATGGTTAGTGCTTTCTGGATATTGTCTTAGAATTGTTTTTCTTTATTTGTCTTAGAAATTTTCTACTAATCAAGGTCATGAAAATATTCTTCTTGAAGAGGTTTTTGTTGTGTTTTGGAAGTACTGGGTTTTGAACTCAGGGATTTGTGCTTGCTAGGTAGGTGTTCTACCACTTGAGCCACACCTTCAGCCCTCATCTTGAGAAGTTTTATAGTTTTGGCTTTTACTTTTAGATTTATGATCCATCTCTAATTTTTGTGTATGACATGAAGTGGGAATTGAGGTTCTTTAATTTCTTATATCATGATCTAATTGTTCCAGCACCATTTCTTTGTTTCTTTGTTTCTTTCTTTCTTATCACCACCATTTTTTGAAAAGACTTCTTTCTCTATGGAATTGTTTTGCCATCTTTGTAAAAAAAAAACCCAACTGTCTCTATGCATATGCATATCCACTAAGTTGTTTCTCACAGCAACAATAGCTAGAACAATCCTGCTTCATTTCTTACTTCTGTTTTCTGATAATCCATTGAAGGAACACATTTCTTGTATCCTGCCAAAAGTCCTCAAACTTCGCACTTAAATGCTGAGTTTTGGGCTGAGGATGCAGCTCAGTGGTAGAGCACTTGTCTAGGACATGCAAGCCCTGGGTCCTTTCAGCAGCACCACTCCAGAAAGTTGAATTTTGTTGTATGTAAAATCAAAGGAAGGAAGGAAGGAAGGTAGGAGGGAAGGAAGGAAGGAAGGAAGGAGGGAAGGAAGGAATTATTTTCTCATTCTTCATGTTTCCTGGATGCCTCTGCATTGATACTGGTACCTCTGCTGGGGAGTTAAAAGAACACAGAGGTTGCATCAGATGAGCTTTTGGTCTCTTGGAAGTGTGGCTTCTTCTGTAAAAACAAAGTTAATAATAACCTACATCAGAGAACTGTTGTGAGTATGGAGTGGGGTGACATTGATACCGGCCCAGGGGTCAGCTGAGGAATGATGAGCCCAGACAATGAGTGAGTGGCAGGTGGAAAAGAAGTTTATTAGGGTAAAGAAAGTCAGAACACCATGTCTATAGGACTCAGAAAGACTGAGCATCTCATGGATCCTTTGGTTAGGGATTTTATAAAGATTCTCCTTCCCCTGATGAAGGGAAGCCCACCATGTCCCAATACCATTGACTTGTTCAAATCGCCAGTCACCTATAGTCTACATGCTATAGAAATTCCAAGATGCTTGGAGTAGTTTCAGGATTCTCCATGCCTTGTTTTGTTTATCTTGCCCCTGACCATAGTTTCAAGAATCTTCACACCCTGTTTATCTTGCCTATGGGTATATTCTAGTTCTCTTCCTCTAATCTAACCTGCCTAGAAAGTCCCTGACCCCTAGTTTCCTGTCTAACATGAAAGTAACTGCAAAAGCAGGTACTGATATTTCTTTGTCATATTAAAAATATTGAATTAGGAAAGGAGTGGGTAGAGGTCAATGTATGTTCCTCCTGGAACCTCATCCAGCTCATGACGACCTTGGGAACAACTTGTCTTCTTCCTCTGCTATTTTCTAAGAGTCAAGTAGTTAGTTACCACCCCTTAAGAGGCAATCTAGTCTGGCCAGATCTGGCTGATTGAATTATTCCCCAATCATGGGACCTAGCTAATTTGTACATTGATTCTCCAGCCAATTTAGATCATTAGGTTGCAAAAATTACATAGCAGTATTTTGTGAAGTCCTTACCCTCAGTCTTTATGAAGGCTGTCTATAGGTAACCTATGCAATGAGTGTCAACCTTGGAGCTGCCTGAGAATAAGGGCAAATGCCACAGTGACCTTAGCCAGCCTCAAGTTGGATATCCAGTTCAGGCTTATTGTTAGGAAAGCATAAAGTCAATTTATTTAAAGCCTTTTTATTATGAATTCAGGTACAGCTCAATTTGCAAATTTTCCTTTCAAAATCATTCAGCCAGTAAAGCTGCATAATCTTGGGAGGTTTTGACGGGCATAATTGATAAATCTTTTTTCCATTCACACATTTTCCTTTATGTTTATTCATGGAGTGTGAGTTCATCTGATAATTTACACAAGGTCTTGGGGTATCTGATCTCTGTACTTCTAAAAGAAGAAAGATGAAACTGTTTTAAAAGCCACTTAAATGGGAGCTTTGAGGCCTGAAGGAAGACAGCTCAATCGTGGGTTCTGATTCCCTTTCTTTGGCTAGCAAAACTGAGTATGGGACCTGTAGTCCCAAGAAGGTTACCTGCCACCTTAGATAGGCAAGTCTTTTTGGTTAAATTGTCAAGAAAGCAAGAATGTCTTTGGAACATTTCCACTCCTCTTTCACCTTTTCTGAATCCACACTCCCTTTTATTGCTCTGTCTACATACTAAGATGCTTCATCTAAGCCTGCCTTTCAGAGCAGTATCCCAGACTATAAGCCACCAGTTCTCAAACTGC